CCCGGGGGGGTGATTTCTCGCTTTCTGTCTCTAATGTCTCTCTCTGTCTGTCTGGCGAGCGCACGCGCCTATAGTGAAAATCTCTCCAAAAAAAATTAAAAAAAAAAAAGAAAAGAAAAAAAGAATATGCAGTAGGGCCCGGCAGGTGGCGTGGTGGTTAAGGTGGTGGACTCCCACGTGGCTGACCACGGTTCAAGTCTTGGACCTGGCAGCTTGCTTTCTCACTCTGTCTCTCTCTAGTCAAATTTAAAAAAATAAAAATAAAAAGTAATAATAAATAAAATGAAATAAAATAATTCTTCTCTAAAAAAAAAAAAGAACATGCAATAACTACCATGTATTTTGATTCCCAATACCATATTCTTCCCATTTCACTGGATTTTTAGGGTGTCTAGCCTTTTCTGCCATTTTCTTTTCTCTTTATTTTAAATTTATTTATTTACACTCATTCGGTGTACATGATTACACTATACAAAATGAGATTTTTCCATCCAGAATACACTGTATATTGGCTAGATCAAGGATATTACCGTATGTGTTATTGTCAACAAGTAATTTTCCTTTTCTTGTTCCTTACGTATTTTGCTTCTTCCTCTCTCCCCCTTATTCGCTTTTCTGCCATTTTTTGCTAACTTCTGAAACCCTGCCAAAAAGCATGGTTTGTTTCCCCCGTCCCTGGAAGCAAGGCTTTGCTCGCCAGCCCTTGTACGAGGTGAGGGGCGTGGGACTCTCCCTCCAGGAGCATGGCAGACTCCCGACTCCCAAGACTGGCAGGTCACAAACTTGGAGCACAGTCATTAGAAACCTTCCGGGCAAAGCCAGCTGTGGTGAGGAAAGCCAGAGTGGTGGTTATTTGGAGGGAGGAGATAGAAAAGAGGGTGTTGCACGTTGGCTCAAAAGGAAACAAGCCTTCCATGTTGATGCTATCCAACCACGATGACACCCACCGCGCTAGATAACAGCGAGCAGCTGACAGCCGGGCCAGAGCATCCTGAGCTGCGGCGTGGAAGCCACAGCCACACGGCCGACCACAGCGCAGGGGCCTCACCTCACCTGAAAACAAGCTGGTGCCCATGCCCCAGCACTGATGGGCCTGTGGGCTGAGGGGTAACCAGTACATGAAGAGCTACTGCCAAGAGTGCCCCCACCCCCTTTCTCATGAAGAAAATGAACTTTAAAATAAGCAAAGAAGGGGCCAGCAGGTCGCCTGGTGGTTTAGGCACTGGGCTCCCACATGGCCAACCACAGTTCAAGTGCTGGACCTGGAAGGTTGCTTTCTCACTCTCCCTCTCTCTTTCTCTCTCTGTATGTGTGTGTGTGTGCATGTCTCTCTCCGGTGAGCCCCATGCCCTTTAGCAAATTAAATAATAATTAAGTAATTTAATCAATTCTTTTTTTAAGTAAATAAAATAGCTTAAAAGAAGAAGATGATGATAGTATCCAAATAAGATGTCATCCACCCAAATGTAAAACTCACTGAGCTGTGCACTTAAAGAATGAAAAGACAAGGGATCAGCAGTTGGTGTAATGGCTATGTCGCTGGACTCCCATGGAGCCAACAGCGGTTCGAGTCCCGGATCTGGTGGCTTAAATTCACGCCAGGCACATGTGCGTGTATGCCCAAGATCCCAAAAGGACAACGGAGGAGAAGGGATTGCGGCGTGGTCATCCCCCCTGGGGAGTGATTTCTCGCTTTCTGTCTCTCTGTCTCTCTCTGTCTGTCTGGCGAGTGCACGTGCCCTATAGCAAAAACCTCTCCAAAAAAAAAAGACTGAAAAGACAAGGTCCTGGGTAGGAGAGAACATCCACAAACCCTACAGCCAACAAGGACACACATCAGAATGCATAAAGAACTCTCAAGAACCACACGCAAGAAATCAAACAGTCCAGGGCCGGCAGGTAGCACAGTGCTTAAGGGCACTGGATTCTCCCACATGGTCAATCATGGTTCAAGTCCCGGACCTACCAGCTTCCTTTCTCACTTTCTCTCTCTGGTCAAATAAAAAATAAATAAATAAAAGTGTTTTTAAAAAACGAAGAAATCGGGACTAGCAGTTAGCGTCATGGCTGTGTCGCTGGACTCCC